TCAGTAGCAAACCTTCCACCTTTAGCGCGATTTTTTGAGTGAGAAAAAACGCCATTACTCATGGACCGACCCCATACATCACTGGGCCATGGAAAATTTTCACTGTGAGTACCCTTTCTTTCGGATCCTGATACTGATACTCCCGCTTGATCCCCTCATCCCCCCCCCCACCCACCACCGTCCAACATCCTTCGAGAGGGTGAGGATATGCAGCAGGTCAATTATCAGAAGTTGTAGGTCAGCTGCATTAGCTTCTATATGGAGAAGGAATAGTTACGAAGTCTTTCCCAAGTGAGTCCACGGGGACATTGTGCACTGATTCTGTCTTCAAGACTTTTATATCTCACGATTTCCTTTGTGAACCCCTTTCTTCAGTTCGGGGAAATTCTGCAAAATGCGACCTCCGCCCCACCCCTCCCAGTTCCCTCTTCCAGCACGACCCTCCCTTCCCCATTCTGTCTACAATCACCCGAAGTTTCCCAACTTCCAACCACTTTTTCCTCAGCTTTAGAAAAAATTGTCCGCTTTCTTCCCGCGCAATCTGCCAAAGTCGTGCGTTGGGGAAGAAAGCCAATGACCTTTCTTCCACAACGCACGACGTGCTCTGGTCCCTGGACAACTGAACGAAGGGTTTAATCACCGTATTAGAGATCTTCAAAGAACTCAAAACTTGTTTGATTGTTCTTTTAATATAATCCTCTGCTCAGTCATTTTTAATGGAGTTTTCCATATCCGTCATTCATGAAGAAGTGGAGCACTGGACCTCGGGCGGTCATCTTGCACTAGAGTCTTTCCAAACAAGGGGGGGGGGTCATATCTGGCTGGCCGAGAGGGATAAGCATTGATCTGAAAAGTGCAGGAATTTTTGGGCAAGTAAGAAACTGTGTTTTATTTGGAAGGAAGGCTTTATATCTGAATGCCTGCCAAGTTTCTACGGTTCTGTAGTTTCCCACTCCAATCCTCAACTGCACAGGTCTTCTTCCTGTGAGCTCTCATTTCTTTATAAGAATTCTGGTCAATTCAATGTGTTTGTGTACGCGTCTTGTAAAGCTTTCAATTCAAGCTATTAACACAGGGATTGATTTTTCCAGGCTCAAAGCAGCTCAGGGTCACTAGACCCCACACGATGCTACTGAGACGAGGGACGTTTATCGTCCTCCTGTCGCTTATAGTGGTACGTTCATCGGTTTATTTCATTCAAAGGCACCGTTCCACCACCAATCGCTATGGGGCCAGTCAGACACACAGATTGACCTTTATACTACGGTGCTCTTCCTTTCACAATTAGTAAAGGAATCACCAGCAAGGGCATGGAACAGTGATTACGGTCGGGACCACCGCCACGTCGCTTCATCGCTGGACGTATGTATTTAACTATCACTGCGAGGTACTTTTTCCCTATTAAAGTCTATAGGAGAAACATTTCAGCCATCATTATCTTCATCAAAGGACTCGTCACAATCATCGGTATTGTCCGACATTGAGCTGAATTGCCCCGAAGGATGGAGTCGTCTCGGGCAGAAATGCTTCAAGGCATACAATGCCGAGAAGAGCTGGTCACAAGCACTGCTAATGTGCTCCAGGTGAGATTTTAGTGAGCATTTTGGTGGCCATAAAGTTTCAAAAATCAAAGAAAATTGTTGAGAAAAAGAAGTTGGAAAATCATGGCTACTTTCAATGTGGGTGTTTTAATATTTCATTTCACATGAATTACTTATTACTATTATTAATTATTATGCCATTATTAATTCATGATTATTTATTGTTATTGTTATTATTATTATCATAGTCTCAGTTTGATATTTTTGAGGTTTTTTCGACGCTTTCGGCTTGGGAGAGAGGCGCAAAAGCATTCTGCTGATTCCCATCATTCCCTCCTGTAGAGACCTTGCGTACACCTGCGAAGCCGCATATTATTGTCATACAAGAAAAGACTTCATTCAGCTTTGGCCAGCAGCTCTAGAGTCGACCTCACCGAGGAGAGAGTTGGCCTTAAAATGGTGGAGTGCCCGCTCCTAAGCCGAAGAACACCGTTTCTCAACATAGAAGTGAAACGAGTCAACATACGTATTGGCGAGTAGTACTTAGCATTTCTCCACCAGTTACCTTTACTTACAATAAGCGATAGATTTCGATGAAGCATAAGAAATACTTAAAAGAAAAGGAAAAATCCAAGAGAGCGCGAAAGCGAACAGATGAAGAGATTTTCGAAAGCGATCCACCTACAAGTCGATAATCGTACAAGTTTAGGTATGGTGCACATTTGGCACGAATCGAAACACCACGTGAGAACAAATTCATCGCCTCAATGTTATCACGTCCCGGAAGGAGTACGCAACATGAGGCTTGGATCGGTCAGCTTTTTCCCTCTTGTTTCATTCATCCTAGCAGATTTATGCAATTCAATAGCCCTACATATCTGAGTACAGTTATTGATTGACATTCTTGTGATTTTTTACTATCGTATATCCACTGCCGCTATTTACTCCACCAGGTCTTCAGGAGAATACTTTTCTCGAAGGCATATTTTCCAGATACTAGCGTGAGCGGGGCGGGGCCGGCAACCGTTTTACGAGAGAGGTGCGCTTATGAAGAGAAGCCTACTGATGAGCGCCCTCGTTCATTTCTCCGCCTATCTGGTTATCGTGGAATGTGACTTGAACCACAGCGAGTGTGCAGTTTATTTCACGCACTATTCTAGTCGCACAACTGGTGACTGTATCACAAGCGGATGCAGGGATTCAGCGGTCCCCTAAGGTGTTGTATTTGAGCCGTGGGGGAGGCAGTCTCGTTGGGCTTGCTGGAGAGAACTTCTATAAGTGAAAGGAAGTGAGAAGTTCGGGAGGCATTAGCGATTTCGACTGCTTCCGATAAAGAGCCCATATCTGAAGGCACCAAGCGGCATGGCTGCGCAAGTGGCCAGCGTCTAGACAAAGTTGTGCTAGAGATGCATGGATAAGAGGAGGGTCGGCACGGAAAACCGGCGCCGGAAGGCCCCATTCTCCTTCAGATGTGAACGATAGCACATCCTTCTCCATAGATCACCAGTAGACAACTTCTTTGGACAACTGCGGAAAAGGAGACGTAAGACGTCAGCCTTCTTTCGAAAGAGGTCGTGCTCATGCGGAAGTGAAGAAGAGGAGCCGTGTCGCGCTAAACCGCTAATCTTTTAGGGCATCAACGGTCAAAAAGCAAAAACTGTATGTAATGTTAGCAGAAGCTGTACGTATAACAGGTAGACGAAAGTTGTAACCTTGAGTACTTGTTCCAGCACTTCATGTAAAAAGAAACTGACCGCTCCGCGACCGCTCGCCACATTTCCATACATCGCCCAGACTACTGTAAGGAAGTGCCTATAAGAGTAGAGGATCTCAGTAATTCGAGACCGTGTTCCGGCGGTTGCAGCTCGTTTGTTGCAACCGCTGTTTCACCCTGTGCTCAAGCATGAATAGTGAATCGGACAGTGCGGCCTTCTAGTGTTATTTGCTCTGACACTCCTTAGTTACCCTGTAGCGAATATTTCACTGTTACTTATTTTTTATTAATTTGTTTGTTTGTAATTATTCATATATTTCTTTTCCAACTAATGACTTTCAGGACTCGCCGCACAGCAGCAATCAGGCGATGTCGCTTTTCTCTGGAGCGATGGAGTACCTGCAAGCAGATATGTGGGATTCTGGAAAGAATCCCAGCCAAACTATAAGGCTGGCAGTTGTGCGATGGTGGGTAATAATAAGCGTACAGTCCATATCTGAGAGCAACAAGGGGCGTTGCTGCAACAGAGGCGAGGACAGCAGTGATATATAGTTGATATCTTTGCAGTCAGTCAGGGCGTGTCAGAAAAGATATAGTGAGCCCGCCCCGGCTGCCTTTTCTACCAGTAAATAGTTTAGTTTGGTGATCGGTTCGGGAAGAAGAGAACCAATGGTAGAAAACTTCGCGGATGGTCTCATTCCTTGCTTCCTGCCACCGCCTCGACTGATTGCAACGATGTCATTTATATGTGTAAAAAAAAATAGTCACGAGATATGCAGCTTTCCGCCTCGAACCATTTTTCGCCCTCCGCGTATGGGGACGCCCACCATGTTCGGCATGTTGCCGGTGCTATGATCCGCTGCAATTTATTGAACGAAAATATTAAAAAAAATATTTTTTAGGAACTCTTTCAAATCGGATCTCGAATGGAGTCTGGAGCGATGCAACATTCTTCGACCGTTTATTTGCGAAATACCAGCATGCGTAAGAGGTGCATGAAAACCGTCAATCAGAATAATCGTTTCCTTATGGCTTTATTTTGAAACTTAAATTTTTCCTTTCTAATTATAGTGTCAGCATAGTATCAAAAAAATTGCCTGTAACTGTTTATAGAAAAAAATTCCCTATTTTCTGGATTATGATCGCTTTTCATTCACTATCGACGTGATGACTATAAAAAAGTTTGAGAGGGGAGAGGGGGGAGGAGTATTGCGAAGCTAGGAAGCCTACTCTGGGCACATCATTAGTTGAAGATTTTAGTCGAGTCCGTACGGCCTCCCTCCCTTTTTTGAGGGAGTTGGTTACAACCCCCCCCCCCTCGGTTCCCCGCCTCATCGGCTGTTCGAGCGAAAGAACGCCTTGAGCGCAAATATCTCGCTCTACCCCCCACGCTTTCTCGTAGCCACACAGCTCTCCTTGTAGATTTTACCACCAAGCTTTTGCCACTTTTCCCGGGACTTCCCTGAGAAATTTTAATATTTTACCCACAAACTTTGTTGTCTTTGGTTGTTCGAGATGAGGGGGCGCGTGTATATAGTAAGCTATGAATAGAAACGAAATAGCAAGCAGCGTCTTACAGAATGTTTAGAAGTAAAAAGTGATCCTTTCCTTCTCCCAACAACGAGGGAAATATAGTCGACCTCCCTCCCCCTTTACAACGTCCCTGAAAACAATATGATAGTAGTCAACTATTCAAAAAAAATTTTTTGGCCTCCCAGTGACCCTCCCCCCCACCTCTTTCTCAGCAATCCAATACGACCCCCTGATTGGGAATACCCATACAAGATGGTGACCTGAGCTATTGTGAGCTGCTGAACCCTACTGTGCTGTCTTTACTGAAAAACTGGCCAACGACCCTTCGGCCAATATTTTACCAGTAACCTATTTACTGAATCGCATGTATGTGAATAAGGCGGAAGTGTAATACCGGAGACTGGCCACCTTATTCAGGGTGGCTCACGAGACATACGACAGGTGGTTACCAATCTTCTAATCTGCTGGCAATCAAAGTCTGCCTAAAAAACGAAACCTTCCATCTAGGTCAGTTTTTGTTGGTATGTGTTTTGATGGGGTATCAACATGCGCGAAGCGACAGCAATACATGCAGCGTGAATTCTTGGCAGTTGACTAAACACACGATAATATTAAATTAGGCCTTGGTGCGAATGCCGTCCACAACTGCCGCTTCGCTCAGTCGCGATATGTGCATTCTCTTGAAGCACTTGTTCTCCGATCTTTCTCATTCTCACATTTTTTACATCTTTATTACGATGTATTTTGTGCTGAAGATCGTTGTTAATCGGATACAAGAACCCGACTCGTTCTTATAACGTATCTGAAACATACTTTTTCTTGATTGTTGAATTTTAAGTAAAACCTCCCACAGTTGCTTCTTGTTGATTATTTCATTTATTAATTTGACAGTGCAGCTCGTGCGCCTGAAAACAAGTGTCAGTGTTATTGCTTGTGTTATTCTCAGAGAACACTACCATCTTACAAAGATTTCATATATTTTTATACTATTTCCTTATTCATCAATATCTTTTTCCAATAATCTTAGCTTGAATAAAAATGTTCGTTATAAAGGCGTCATTTTCTTTCTGTGCAATTGGTGTCGGATGTTATACCAGTAATTCACGACCCGATTAATGTGTTGTATGACTGTGGCGATCTATAGTGATGAGCTGAACTGTCCGCGTTAGTCAATCGCTTATTTTATGACCGCGAGTTATTTTCTGGTTACGCTTATCATAAATCTCGGATAACTTGTATTGAAATCACGCCAATCGATGAAACGACTGCATCCTAGTGTTATGATGTATTGGAACCAATCGATATATTGACCATAACGAAAACCAATCAGTATATTGATCGAGATTGCAATCAATGTATTGATTTCAACGAGAATATGCATTGAGCGTTTTGCCTTGATTTTGTCGAAAGTCTGCTTTCTTAACAAGCTGATCCTCATTTTTTTTTTACAGTAAGCAGCATAAAATCAATTGGTCGAAAATTCATAGGTTTTCGGAAACATGGCACTTGCGTTGTGGGGATTTGGGGGAGGCTGCGAACAGAATTCGAGGTTAGAAGCGACTAGCTGCGCCCCTTCGAAATTCCTCCTCTAGCACGATCCCCCTTCCTCATCCCCCACACCTGTCAGCTCCTTGAATTCTCCCTTTTCCTACCGCGTCCTGTGAGTTTTTTCTTCAGAGATTCCCCAGTTTTTTTTCCAAAATACACCGTCAGCCGATCGAAGGAGGGTGTAAACATGCGCGAAACGCGAAACGGGAAATAGCGGAAAAGTCAAACCCGAAAAAGATTCCCCACAAATGGCGACCACCTCCCTTCCTGAGGATCAGACATGAGGCTTAGCTGCAGATCGAAAGCAGAGGGTGCTAACACGCTTAATTTTTATTTATCCGTATTGCAGCATCTCATCTGATTTGGCCTGTCTTGCCAATAACGATAAAGAGCTGACATGCCGGTAAATTCTCTACCCAACTATCCGTCAATCCATACAAGGCAACGCTAACTGTCGATGGGTGATAGAAGCACCTACGAATAGCCGAATCCAGGTAATTTTTTATCCAGCCTCGAGCAGACTTCGGAAAAACCTCTTTTTTTACAAACTTCATAGCTTACTAGAGAATTTCAGCTGACTTTCGACGTGTTCGAAACCGAAGAGTTTGTGGGGACATATGGTCACTGTTTGCTTGACGGTGGACCTGCCGAAAACAGCACCACTGGTAACTTTATTAATATTCCATTTCTATTTCCACATGTTTAAACAAATGGTGGCGAAGTAGCTGGAGAGGGTGCGGGCGGAGAGGCGGGAGGGTCGAGCAGGGAGGAGAAGGAGGCGGCACGCGGTGACAGAAAGTCACGCCGACTCTGGTCATCTAGTGCCCTCCAAGGCTGGACAAAGGTGGTTATCGCCTTGTTGGTGAAAGAGTGCAGACGAGCAAATTCGGTCGCGCCACGGTCTCTGTCCTCAACTAGCCGTCCTCCCTAAAAATGTGGGGACTACTAAGCTACTCTTTTCCCTAGTTCTAGATGATATTGAAAATAGAAGTCGGAGAACATAGACTGAGGTAGACAGACGTCGGGGAACTACACTCTTGTGCGCTGCGGACACTGGGACGAGTAAGGGAAGGCTGGGTTTGGCACGGCGCCAGTCAATTTTCCACAGACTTTGTCGCTTGCCTGCTTCGACAATAGGTGGATATCAGACCGGCGCAGAGTCAAGCCCAGCCTCCGGGCACGCCCCAACGTTTCCAGCGAACAAATTTATGGGAGAAAGGTTTCGTCGAACGCGGGGACCATCTACCCGTTATTTTTTCCCGCCACACCTGGTCTCTGTGCCCATTCGGGTGACACCAAGTAAAACAGATCAATTTTTCGGTTCACCTATAACATTACTGTTTTAGTGTTGGCAACGCTTTCGGGAACGAGGAGTGATAAATTCGTCGTCACGTCGTCGACGAATATGATTATCGTTCGGTTCAGAAGTGATGCAGCCGTTCAAGCACGCGGTTTCCAGGCACACTGGAGAGCTAGTGAGTTTCAGCGTTTTTCTCAGACAGCGTTCAAACCTGGCGATGATGCGCATCGTAGCGCGTAGACGCGCGTCATCGCCAAGTCTGAAGTAACCTAAGCGTCCAACAGAGAACAAGTCGCTATGTCAGCAGAGTGGCGCGTTTTGGTGCAATAGTCCGCAGGATTACGGTATTTCCGCGTCTGCACAAACGGTCCTCAGCTCTGAATCATTTCTTTAAATTTTCTCCCAAGTAATGGGCACTACTTAATGTACTGGATCAGCCTCATGGGGCACGAAACTGCTGCGGGCTACGTGACGTTGTGTGCATCCAACAACACATAGCATTTAATTTGGCGGCTTTCTCGTCACTGTGGTTTCTTCTTGGGATTAGGGTTGCCTTTATTTCCCGATAACATTAGAGGCATCAGATTCGCGCTAAGATCTGCCCTCTGAGCCCCCCCCCCCCAACTACGCTAATGCCCAACAATCGTGTTTGTTGGTCATCAGCGAACCGGAAGCGGCAACACATATAAGTGACAGATGAAAGTTTGCACATGGCGACAAATCGCTGTCACTTGGTAAACACCCCACTCAGAGTGGATAACAGTTCTGACAAGGAGTTCTCAGCGGGGGTAGGGTGAGAATGTAATTTCTACCTACCCCGAACCGTTCACGTGTGATGCCCCTTCTGAGGTTCCATCAATTTCAAATTACTACAACTATTTCCCCAGCCGGTGTTAGTCCAGCAAAGTTCGCATTTTGTACTTGCAGATGCGAAGAAACGATTATGCGCCACGGAGGGAGATTTCGGCGTTGTTCGGCTTAGAAGGGGCATTTCCGCTTGCACAAATTCCTTTTCCTAGTTCATTCTAGCGAACGGTTTCGCTGTGGCGATGCCTGTAAACTTTTGCGAGGCGGCGAAATGGCACATGTGAGCCCACTTTGCTTAGAGGAATTTATGTCTTCACAAGTTGATCTGTACAAGCTTCGCTAACAGTACGAACTTGGCGACATTACGTACCATTTGGTGGCCCCCTCCCAAAACCCAATTGCGCTGGAGGTTTCTACCTAGAAGGGGCAGAACTCCCTTCAAGCAATAAACCACAAGCAATATAATAAATCAAAGAGATGACGTAGGAATGAAACCCCTAGGAGTCCGCTGCTTTGAAGGACTCTTTGTGCAGTATCGCGACTACCGTACTGAACGAACTATTGCACCAGAATGACCCTTCATACGGGAACTGCGCCCTTTTTCCTCTTCCCTTTCTAGAAAACTAGATGTGTAGAATAATTACTGCACCACTATTCTTGGAAGTAAACGGAACAATTTCAGTACCTTTCTCATGTGGTGGTGTTTTGACAGCACAAGCTTTCGGGCAGACATTCTCATCGCCACACTATCCAACCGAATATCCGTTTGGTACCGAATGTGTCTGGACGATCCAAGCTCCGAAGTCTCAATTGATCACTTTGAGTGTGAGTTTTTTATCTGCGCCTTCTGGGGAAGAAATAAAGCAATAAATGATGCAAGTCGGTATAGAGACAGTCCATATCTGAGGGCTACAGGAGGCCTGCCTGCAAGAGAGGCGAGGTTCCAGATGAAGGGGAAATTCAGACGTACACTTAATATCAGCGCAATTGTCGGGTCGCAATCAGCGGTTCTCACATGCGGCGTTTCCATCATTGGTTGTTTCCTTCCTAAATCGATTTCTACCCGATCGCCATTGGTAGAGCAAGGGAGCCGAACGCGGACTCGAACCGCGCTGCTCACGCCGCCTCCGACAGTCCGCAATGATGAGGACTGTGCAGTCGCGGTCCATGGAAAACATAGGGCGTGTGACGGGGCTTAGAGCACAGCCAGAGCAGCCTTTCCCGCCAGTTGTCGTAAACTTAGAATGGCATTATTGGTCGAAAAAACCGGCCTGGCAACGCTCCAATTCACCCCCCCCCCTTGCTATGTCATTTGAGAGAATTATCACTGTGTCTATGGGAGAAGAGAATCAAGTATGCACAGACTTGTTCGCTGCGGATGATAGGGCGTACCAAAGGGAATGTGTTTGGCGCAGCGCCAGCCGGTTATTCCTTTTTCGGCGAGCGGGGCAAAAAAGCGCAAGGATAAGGTAAGATGTGAAAGTGCCAATTAAGTTTCTATTTGCTACGTCTCAACAGAAGTGTGATTGAACATATGTAGATGATTCAGATTGAAGATATCTCGCTTTCTCCGGATGACGCCCTATTGATCTACGACGGTTCTTCGCCATCTGCCCCTGTGCTTGCCAGGTTCACTAATACTTTTGGTTTTTTCGTATTATATTTTACAGCACTCTCACGAATCCATTTCGCTGTCCATTTTGAGCTTTATTAGAAGCAGATCTAACGCGATTCATGCATTTTAAGGCTTTCTGGGAACAACACCATCACGGAATACTTAGTGACGACCCAAAACAATGTGTTCGTCTATTTCCTGTCGAGCTCTCAAGGAAAAGGACGTGGTTTCTCCATCGGATACAAGCGTGGTACGTCTTAACAATCTGTTCATTTACAAATTTAATGCTTGGACTAGTCCGAGCTAAAATGCTTGATGTTCGTTCATATCTACTTTGAGTTTGCGTTTCGAGCGAACACAGCGTGCACCAGCGTATGCCAGCATACGCTCAAAACACCAATCGATACCTGTACTGCCCTAGTCGCTTAAAACGCTCGAAACGGTGGCTCGAAGTATAGACGCACGCATTCTCAGGTATCGAATGATAAAGATATATGCCGTTGCAAGAAAGCTGAATCTACCTCCTCTCCACAATTTCTTCCAGAATAGTTGTTTCTAACGGCGCAGTCAACTCGGTTTCATTGAGACCAGACATGGCCCCCTTCCCTACGGCCGAATACGGCTCCTGATGAGATTCTGCTGACGAATCTGTATCCATTACGGAGATACGCATCAGTTCTCTCAACATACCCACCCTAGTTTGTGTACATTCTTTCGCCAGCGTTTGCAGCGTACGTCGGTGTTTTGAGCGACTAGGAAAGTACAGTCTGGTTCGCTGTTCATGACGAGGCGTGTCAGGGTAGCTGCTTTTGGCGCGGCGCCAAACTCTTTTGCACCAAATTCACGCGGGGATGCGGCAAAATATCTTATTAGTCGTATCAGCCTTTTTCACCAATTATTTGTTGAGCTGCTTCAATAACTGGTGGACGGGTTTGGTGCCATTGACAAAATTGATTGAAAAGCAGTCGCATTGACACGCCTCGTAATCCGCAGAGGACCAGACCCTGTAGGTATCGATCTAGCGTTATGAGCGTACGACAGCGTTTTAAGCGCTCCGCGGCTCGAAGTTGAAAC